GATCCAGCTCCAAAATCCCTGTTGGCATTTTTATCCTGTAAATGCAAAACCAACAACTACTTTACCATAGTTGTTGGTTTTGCATGCGGATGCAGAAAAGCAGGGTTAAAATGTCCAATGATTTGTGCATACTGCAATGGGAAATCCTGTGACAATGTCATTGAAGTATCACTCGACGAATCCGATGAAGAGGAGTTGGACTTGCCTGTAGATATCCCTCTGGCGGCTGAAGATGAAGAGTTGGACGTATTGAGAGACCACCCTGATGAGCCCAGCACAGCAGACACGATCGACTTTGACATCAATAAGCCAGATCCGTCGGGCTTGTGCAGATAAGTTAAAGTTTTTAATTTATCTAGTGGAGTAGGCCTCCGGGGAGACCACGTTAAAATAAACGCGCCATATACTTTACCTCTTGGGTGGTGTGGAAACAAGTACACATTTTCAATAATTAAAATTAATTATTTATAAATTAATGACCAAATTCATTATACGCCACTGTTTTATGACAAAATTGAAGAAACTAAACTAAAATTAGTTTTAGTGAACCCTAATCGACATTTGATTTCGGAAAATCGACTATACATAATATATCATATTTTACGCAAAATTATAAAATTTCCAGGGATTTTGTGCCTAAACGGTTGACTTTAGCGAAAATTTTCATAAAATCTTTTTTATAGGAAATTTCATTCTCTTTTATTATGCTATCCTAAAATTTTCGCGAAAACCGCATAGTTTTCGAGATATTCACAAAATACCGATTTTGGGCGCCATCTTGGCAAGATGGCGGCGCCGGCGGCAAGTCCGGAAATGTGCATTTTATAGATTTTAGTTTAGGGACCCCAAAACCTATAAACCTGCAAAGTTGCAAAATTTCCGGACTTTTTTCCCAGCAAAAATCTCCAATGACTGAACTACTACTAATATTTTCTATTCATGCAAAACAATAAAACCAATAAAGATAGGATAGATATATAATATAGATCTGATAATAAATAACGTGTATTTTATATAGTAAATCAAAATCCTTTATTAAACCTAACCTGAAACTCGCGGTGTAACTTTAATCGTTTCCGCCGTTTTCCGATTGTTGTAAATTTTCAGATTGTTGGGCATAAATTCGGTCGAATCGCCGTATATTCCGATATAGATAAAGTCCTTCCCGGCGCGCCATTTAAATTTATGGACTTAAACAAATCTCCAATTTTACGCACCATACACTGAAAACTAAACACTAACTGTATATTTTATGTTTAATGGGGCCCGGGAGAGAATCTCTCCACGCTAAAATTGTGAATAATTTCGCAACTGCTTCGCAAACGTAATTGAATTTATTCTGGAAAACCACTTGGAAAAAAATGTTGTAGTTAATTAGAATTTTTTTTCTGTCGTTTGCTTTTTCGAACTGTTTTTCGGGTTTAAATAAATTCTAAATCAATGAAATGTATACCTGTCGAAAATAAAATAGAGGCTGCTAAATAAATAAAATACCGACGAGATAGAAATGTTTAGAGCGCTTGACCAAAACAGCCAAACAGTGGATATAATTTAAATGTACAGTTCGTACCAAATAAACTTTTAGTCACGTGATTAAGCTTGACCGGCAGAGCGTTGTCCACTTTTATATATTTTCTTGTAATCAAAAGATTTTACAGGTATTATTTACATCAACAAAACTCACCTCCTTAACAGCACTTAAGGGACATAAAGGGTCACTGCTATCGCTTTATCGTTCAAAATATTCTAATAAAGTTGCAATGAGTTTTTTACGGCTATTAAGCTATCCTGTACACTTTACACTAAAAGAGGGTCTAAAAAGAACAATGTTCGACTGCAAGTTCTGCTAGTAAACATTTTTAAGCTTAAAGTATCACAACACTATTTATTTAAACCAAAAATTTGTTATATACAAAACTATAGTGTCAAAACGAATGACAATGTCAGGAAATAAATAAATAAATAAATGCGGCAACTTGACATTTTTTACAGCAGATCTTCAGAAATTTAAATTCCAGTTAGTCAGCACAGTGCCGAATATGTCCAGGGTTGGCAACTATGTATTTAAAAATCGCGCCCTCGATTACGTAACCAAAAGTTTAATTGATATGAAATATATATTTTCATATTTTTCATCTTTTTCTCTAATCCGAAATGGTATGAAGATTTGGAAAAGTATAAACGGAATTTTAGAACTTTTAGATCCATTTTAGAACAAGCAAAACTTTTAATGAGAAATGCATTTTTCTGAAATGCCGATAATAAAAAAGGTTTTCCTCTTCTAAAGACAACACTGGGAGGTTCCAAACCCTTCTAAGGACAGCTACTGTGTATAGAAAAAATTTGTCAAGTGTGAGTCGGACTCGCGCACGAAGGGTTCAGTACCATTCATTATATCATCTATATATATCTATATTATACCATCTATACAACATTATACACTATATTATTATAAACTTTTTTTCCGATTTAGCTGAAATTTTAAATGCGCGTATAAGTAATTAAAAAAAATGAAGAAACACATTACTAAAAATTGTATTAATCAATAATAAATATGTAAAAAATAAAAATAAATATGTCAAAATATGTAAAAATTAAAAAAAAGGTTAAAAAAGTCGCCTTGACTAGGAATCGAACCTGCCGTACTACGGGTCCAACGTCATAGCAGCGTAAAGTCCTAACGCTTTAACCACGCGGCCACCGAGGACTTGAAAGATTCTATGTAAAATTCTTACTTAAAACATAATGTTTAGTAAAAGTACTTTTTTATTTATAAACATTTATTTAATTCTGTGTTTAGTATTTGTTCTTATAGCGGCAACATTTATACATTATCTGTGAAAATTTGAACTGTCTAGCTATACGGTTTGGTTTGGTTGAACAAATATCAAATAAAAATAAAATTGAAACGCATTATATAAAATAGAACAGTATATTGCGATGTCCATTTTTATATTTCCTTCAAATGGAAATTCGTTTTGGAATGGGATTTACATAGAAAACATAACTGTCATATCCGGCTGTATACCAACGGATTTCGAAACTGATGTAAAAATTATATAGTTGGCCGGGACGGATATTTTGACAGTCGAACGTAAGCCGGCTTTATTTTGGAATAATATAAAAATATAAAAATATAAAAGAGTGTTATATGTCAGTGTAATCCATCGAAGTCCGGTGCAAGTTGATGACGATCAGTCAGGGCCCTAATTTTGAAACTTAGAAAACGCGAAGCAGGTAATAATCTAACACGAGACATACCAACACCAGGAGGCATTAGACAAGGAGACAGCCTTAGTCCCTTCTTATTCAATCTTTTAATGGACATCATCATAGAAACGGTGACCTCGATGAATATCGGTTATCGAATGGGAGTTAGCATGGTGTGTTACGCTGGTGATGCGGCCATTATCGCGGAGACAGAGGACGATATGCAGAGACAGCTTTATAAATTCTATCGAGTAGTGCCATAAACTGTGGTACCACTGATATCGGAGATGGAGAACTAACCTCTGTAAAACCGTCTCAGACACTGGCTTCTGTCAAAGCTCTGAGACAGTATGATGAGTTATAAGTCAAGAAAGGGGGACACAATAGATCTGTAAGCTTGCGGTGATTAACCCACTCCCATACAATCTACATTCTAGAATTTAATATAAAATGTGTATCATATATTTTTCAATTATGTGAAATATCATTATACAAAGTTTGTTTAGTATTTAGTGTAGATAAAAATTGGAATATTTTATGTTAAGAATATTCTTTAATAGTTATTTTTGTATTTAGTGCGCGAAGTGCTACTTTGGTGATCAATCATCTTCTACAAATATTAAAATCGGGATATCCCTAAAAATTATTATTATTATATTAATTGCTTCGAGAAAAAGCGTGAGCTTGGAATGTATGTTTTTTTTATTACTGAACATCGTCATCGATTTCCTTTTAGGCCGTTTTAATACTTGGTATTTCTGATGCTTGCCGCCGTGAGGAACTTACTAAATTGACGGTCGATAACATAGAAGATAAAGATTCAATTTTTGATTGTTAAAGTACCCGATACAAAAACAAACATTGACCGAATCTTTACAGTGTCAAATTTGAATTATATTAAGATTTACCGAAAATACGCAGCTCTTCGTCCAAGAAATGCTACCAGTCGCAGATTGTTTTTAAAATATCAAAATAAAAAATGTGTTAACCAAGTGGTCGGCATAAATTCTATTGGTTAGGATGCCTAGCATGATAGCAAAACACTTGAAGCTGCCAGATTATGAGGCCTACACTAGGCATTGTTTCCGGAGAACTTCAGCCACACTCTTTGCTAATGCAGGGGGTGATATATTTAGTTTGAGGCGCCACGGAGGATGGAAATCTTCGACAGTGGCCGAGGGATACGTCGAGGATTCTATCAACAATAAAATTCAAATATCAAATAAATTTTAGAGTTTCAAATACCGGGATCAAATATCTCTACATCAAAATTGGATAGTGTCTCAAGTCCGAAAACCCCCATATCTCAAGCAAAATCAGAACTATCTAGTTTGGGATTAAATATTGGTTCGTGTACTGGTTGTACTATTAATGTTAATGTTGTACATAATAACTGGAATATGCATATTTGTTATTTGTTTATTCTTGAATATTTCGAAATAAATTATTAGTTATGATTTAGTTCTTCATTTTCCAAAAATTAAAATTCCAAAATCCCATATAATTTATATGCAGTGTGCGAAATAGGCATTTCGCACATTACTTCGCGCACCGTGTCATGGTAACGTAGGAAAATGAAAAAAATTGTCACTTTGCACATTGCTATCAATTCGCGTACCTAGTAAGTAATTTTTTGACGTTTGTAGAAAAAAATATATTTTCCCTTTGAGGATAAATATATTTGCATGTGACCAAGACAAAATGCATATATCTTCGAGATCACTGAATTAACGTGAACAGCTATAAATTTAAGGACATTTTTTTTACAACTAAACGTATATGGTACTCACCATCGTAATATTGATCGTCCTCCTCCTGAAAGTGATGGTGCCTCATCGATACGTCATCGCCCTCCCCTGGCCGGTGAAGTTGGGGGATCAGATTGAGCCAGAGTGACATTTTATGTCCCCTGTAATGGTCTCTTCTCTCCGCACCTCGACTACCTGAAACAGAGACGATTTTCAGCGTAAGTTTATGACGCAAACATGATAAGGTTTTACGAGGCCTTAAACCTGTCCCACACTTTTCAATATAAGAATTGAGGTGCCTTTTTGAGCTTATGTATATGTTTAATTATTAATTTCTTTAATGTATTTTTTTTTCTTAAAAGTCCATGTCACCGTCCAAACCACTATCAATTTGATAGTGGTTTGGACTTTGTTTTCTATTTTAACATTAATTTTTTTTATATAAATAATATTAAACTCCATCCCTAGCGTTTTTTAAGGTAGAATAACAATAAACATTGCTTTATTTTGAAGTGAGTGTCTATCCTAATATTTCATAAATTTAATATCTAATAAAAAATCCATACAATACAACATGTGAGGATGTTTCATAATATTTAGTATCAAATAAAAAATATAAGAGGTAACTGTATCTAGTAAAACTTTTATCAAGCCCGGATTCTGCAATAAAGTTTTTACGAGTTTCTTTTATCAAAAGAGTTTATCCAAAATATCACTTAGTTTGCTTTTTCTTTTTTTATATTCTTTACTTTTTGGACAGATTTTAGTTAATGTCAAACAAAAATACGTCAATATTTGACTACGCTACACAAAAATAGGTTTTCATTTAAAATAAAAGTGGTGTAGGTTAGTTAAAACTTATTTGCTCTTTTATTAACTATGTTTTAGTCCTTTTTTGTAATTCGCAATAATGCCACTCTGAATTTAAGTTCTGAAAAACAAGTATACAAATTACATTGTCAGTCTTATTGTTTAAAATAAACATTTATAAATGTTTACAATGTCAAAGAATAAAAAAATAAAAATAGGATTCAAAAATATTTAGTAAGTTTATACTAAATATAGTAATAGCAAACATTAGACCAGTGTTTACAAGATCAAATTCGATTATCAAAGTATAAGTCATTTACGGCGTAGATAGCCTTGTCTAGTAAATAAGATTTCAATGCTTTGCAAGATGAACAAAATGATGTTAAGGATTTGATTTCAAAAGGCAGGTGACTGTGCATTTTTTTCGAGTTGTATAATATTGAACTTTTAACTAACTCTGAGCGTGGGGTAGGTAGATAAAGATCTTGCTCCGCGTTCCTGAGTGGATAAGTGTGAGATTGCCTTTCTTGAGAAGCTGATACATGCTTACGTATTAGGCAAACGGATTCAAATATAAATAAGGAAGAAAGAGTTAATATTTTTAATTTTTTGAAAAAGCCCTGGCAATGAGTTCTGTTGTTTAGTCCCAGTGAATATCGAACAGCTCTCTTCTGGAGCTTGAAAATGAGGTCAAATTGAGTCGCACAACACGTACCCCAAAATGGAAGGGCATATCTGAGGTGCGACTCAAAAAGTGCATAATAAACAGTTCTAGTCACGGACAAGTTAAACTCCTTAGAACAGATCTTAATGCAAAACAGGCAGAGCTTAATTTTTTCGATAAATCGTTGATATGCATGTCCCATTTTAGAGAATTGTCTACAACAAGAATTTTACGGACTTTACGACGTCAATGGTGGTGTTGTTAAGTACAAAAGGCTGCAGCGAGTTTTTATACGACAAAGCTTTAGTTTTAGAAATGTTAAGACTCAGGAGGTTCGAATCGCACCAAGATTTAATGGTGTTAAAGTCATTTGATATAATCCTATGAAGTGCCGTGACGTCCTTGTTGCTTCAAGTGAAGCTAGTGTCATCCGCAAAAAGACATACTTTACCAATGATGTTTATGTTAGCAATGTTGTTAATAAAAAAAAGAAACAAAATAGGGCCTAGTACTGAGCCGTGAGGTACTCCACATTCTATTGGCTTGCTAGAAGACAACGTGGTATCCACCTTCACAAGTTGACTTCTGTTGCTCAGATACGACTTAAAGCTTAAAAAACAGGCTTTAGAAAAAAAACATCTCATTATAGATGTGACTACCTACAACTTTTATCTGAAAACTTTACGCCACAAATATTTCTTCATTTTCTTTTCTGTACAAATGAGTAGCGAAAGACACAGATTAACAATTTTTTAAAGCATTGTGGCGATAGAGGAATATTTTTTGGATTTTGATATGTAAAAAAGAGGACTTTTTCAATACGTGAGAAAAAAGAGGACAGTGAGATCAAAAAGAAGACTGTTCTCTGGAATAGAGGACGGTTGGCAACCCTATAGTAAGGTCTCCTGGACCAGTAATATTGATTACAAAACTTCCGACGCAACTACAGTTTTTAGTAAGTTGCTAAATAAAGTTTTTACCCGCTGAAAACTGAAAAAGTTGAGAGTTTGTAAGTTTGTATATTACGCCAGTACACTGGAACGAATGTGGCTTGCTTTAGACAGATAATAGACAAGGGAATTATACAAACAAAGCTAAATAATAGAAAGAATAACATATAGAATAAAATTAATCCATAGTCATAGACGGTAACTTTCCCAGAGCACGTCTGGATAATACCAGAATCGTATATAAATGCGATTTCATAAAAAAGGTTTTCGGGGTTTTTTAAAAAGGCCAGACGGTCGTGATGAATAGGATTCGAAAAATCTCCAGCCATACACACACGCACACGTGGCTGAGATCCTCTTTCGGAGCCAAACTAGGCAAACATAAATTCCGTAAGGATGTTTTATAGAGTGAATTTATTTTCAAAAGCTCTTCCTACCCTTTTTTCTTCCCTCTTACGTCTCTCGATGCGGAAGGATCGCATTTCAATCCTCTAAAATTCGTCCGGAATAATACGGGGAGACCGTATAGAAATTCTGTTTTTGATATATTAATTTTAATTCTGAAATGTGTATATTTTCGTAGAAATAACTTGTTTCGCTGGAGGTTTCCTCTGTAAGTGCAAAGAATGTAGATTATGAGATAGTGTCCTCCTTTCTTGAGTATATATAGTATATATAGAGAGATACTAAGCATACAGTCTCAGGGTTTTAACAGCCAGTCTCTGAGACGGTTTTACAGAGGTTAGTGTGTTAGATGTGTCATTCTATCCAGAGTGTCATTTTCTGTTGAATAAAGTGTAAAAATACCGAGGGTAATCATTTCCGGTGAAACAGGAAGTGACCGAAAAAAATTGAATACGTCAATCAATCCTCCTATACACGGTGAGACAAAATTAATATTGAATATTGGTCACCTTCAAAAGTATGTTACACTTGACAGTGTTTACAAAACTCGACCAACTATTGTCGACAATATGACAGAAATTATTGTAGAGGTAGAACTCCACATATGCCTTTTAAAATGAAAAAATCCTTTTAAAAAGACAATCATTTTATGCAGTTAACAGGAAAGGAAGCATTTTGAGCATTTGATTTCATCTAGATAGTAAATTTAAAATTTACTCTTCATTTTCACAAAATGTGAAATATGTCAAAATATTTAGATTTTAGGTATATGTGCTTTAATAAAACTCACCTTTATTCACTCTCCAATAGAAAAAACACAACTTTGATGTGTAACTTTTTTTGGGGACACCCTGTATAACTCTATATATTTTTATAAAATGCTTTCAATTAACCTACATATGCTGCCAAAATTTTTTAATATTTTTTTTCGATATATAAGCTACCGTTCTGCTTGGAGCTTCCGCGGCCTATGAGAGGCGCCACCCTGTATTTTGTAGGTCTGCTTTGGAAAAAAAAATTCACAAAAAATATGGGATGTGGCGTTTTTTACAAGAAACAATCTCAAGGGTTTTGACAAAAGCCAGTCTCTAAGACGGGTTCACAGAGGTTAGTGTGTTAGATGTGCCATTTAAAAATCAAAAGCTGTAGTTATTTCCGGTGAAACAGAAAGTGGCCAAAAACAGTTGAATACCGTCAATCAATCCTAATTTATATCATATACTAACATACCAAATCTCGTTTTTTTATCAGAAAAAATAAGAAAGTTATGGACCTGAACCACTCTTGAGAAACACCCGGTATATTATGATCGTGGCCCTAGAAAAATAATACCTTGTCTATAAATAAATAACATCACAGAGAAAATTCAATCGCAGATTACTATAAAATGCTTTAATAGATCACAAAATTACCTTTGCAACAATATCGCAAATCGCAACACCTAAAAATTCAAACTCGCAGATAGAAATCACAGTTTCAGTTTACAAAATCACAATCGCAGCAAAATCGCAACAAAATTGCAAAATGCAACAAGGTCGCAAATCGCAGCTATACAGGGTGGTCCGAACGGTATTCCGGAAACTTCGGCAGCGTATTATACAGATAAAAAAAAATAAAAATGTTCGTATAAACGTATGTCCTAAAATGCTTAGTTTCGGAAATATAGGGTGTAGAAATTTCATATTTCGATTTTTTCCAAATAATATTTGAAATAACGTCAATATTTGCATGAAAATTGGTATCTGGAAGTTTTTTGAAATGAGAAATTTGATTTTGATGTCAATATGACTCCTATTTGTAGGGGGCGCCACCTACATGCGTTTTAACTGTTTTGTAGAGTAATAACTTTTCGTCCGTACCTGTACAGAACCTGCTGAGTGAAAAAATATACATTTCAGTGATTTTTTACGTAAAAGATGTCTCTTGTTAATCATTATTGACAAAAAATAAACACGTTGAGTAGATAATTATTTGACTGAAATAATAAATTTGGGAAATTTTTATATTTTTTTAAATGAATCATAAATTTTTCTTCAAAAAAGATGATAAAACAGTTTCTGTTGAACTTTTGGCACAAAAACATTTCAAATTTATGATTTCACTCTAGTAACTATTTAATCAACATGTATAATTTATGTCAATGATGATAGGTATTGATAATTTAGATTCCAAATATCTCGAGAACCATTACTCGTAGCGATTGTTACCAAGAGACCTTTTTTACGTAAAAAGTGTATATTTTTTTACTCAGTAGTTTTATACAGGTACAGACGAAAAGTTATTACTCTTCAAATTATTTAAAAGTATGTAGGTGGCGCCTTCTATAAGAAAGAATCACATTGACATCAAAATCGAATTTCTCATAT